AAAAGCTTTGGTTGAACATAAATTACCAGATTTATCCCAAACTTGGTATGTATTGTTAAATTTAGTCATCATTTTTTTTATTGAAATATTAGCAGATTTTTTTGTAAATTTACTAATATATCTTGTACCATTCCAAGTAAGCTTTAGGCTTGTGCTAGGATATGGTTTACGTCAATAGTCGAATGGCGGGATTCGAACCTCCGACCTCGTGATCGGGAATGCACACCCTTAACCATTAGGCTATTGGCGCTTAAATCAATCAATCAATTCAATAATGTACGTTAAAAATTTCCTGTCTTCTTCTAAACCTTTAATTTTTTGTACGCTACATTTCATCGCTATCAGCAGTTCTGGAGATACCTTCAAACTAACATCCATCCAAACATTCGCATTTGTAATATTTGTAAGATAGAATACCGTCAAGCCGAGTCGACGCTTCTGGTTATTTTCCGTTCTTTTTTGTCCCTGCACGCGAGCTTGGTAATTGCATATTTTACAATATTATTTACAACTATACTGTTGCCAGCACCTATGTCAGCGTGGGATAAAAAAAAAACCTTTGTTAGTTGCATAAAATTCCATTAAAAGTCAAAATCGGTCAAACTTATCGGGGAATCGGAACATACGCTGATTTGCGGACAGAGAGAAGCACTTTATTATGATTTTTTTATGAGATCCGTCGAATTTTCTTGAGATACCTTCTAACATCCATCCATCCATCAAAGCTTTCCCATTTATAATTTAGTATGAAGTAAGATGTCACGATTGTTATGCTTATTATCTCCATACCATAGAATTGTGTCACAAATTGTCAGATTTAATTACTAAAGTACGCAATATCTATTATATGATAATATTTCTAATATTCCATTGTGTAAGTAATTGTGCTACTTATTAGATTTTATTATTAACATTGTAACACCGATTAAAAAAAACCAATGATGACATTAATCTGTAATAATTATATACTAATGTCTAATAACTACCTAAGCGCTACGTGAGTTTTTTGTGGTCCAGGACTTTGCAGTCGTCGCAAACGTGCAAGTGACCACATAATTCAATTCATTCATTAACATCCGCAGTTGCATATGCGTCCTACCTTTACTCAACAGAGGAGGGGATGCATAGAAATAGGATATTACCCCTTACAATCCAATTCCCCTTCACATCCTTTCCTTATAAGAAAAGGATAAGAAGGGACGGGAACTAATATATTAGACCTCCACCACGCACACTCGTCAGACTGCACGCGAAATTGATTCCACTTGACACGTGTCTTATTGTCGTGGTATCACACCAGGCGAGGCACATTCGTGCAACATACGTTGTTGCTGGTGTCCTACCTACCACTGTTAAAAGTTAGTGAGTTTAGTGTGCCATAACCCTACTTGGTGGGGGGACGAGAACGCATCTTTTGAAGATATAAAAGTTTTGAATCAAGGATCTAATAGCATAAGTAAGGGCGACCAAATTAAGATTCAATATGAGGTCGTAGGTTCGATTCTGCCATTGAACTATTGTCTTGAACTTTTAAAGTGTAGTTGGAATGATTAGGAAAAATCATAGTCTCTACTAATATTATAAATGCATATGTTCGGATGGATAAATGGATGGATGGATGCCTGTTTGAAGGTATCTCCGGAACATCTAAACGGATCTTGATGATATTTCGCACAGATGTAGAACATAGTCTGGAAGAACACAGAGGCTAAGGCTAAGGTCAAGTTTTTTTTTAATTCCGCGTGGACGGAGTCGCGGACGACAGCTAATGTTTTTAATAAAAAAAATAACATAGATAAAACATATTTTCGTTTACCGAAAGATTATAATTATTTATATTAATCTAGTTTCGATGTACCCATGTGAAGCGAGAGCGGGTTTCTAATGTTACAGAGTACATTTCAAAATCATGCGTGCTTTATTTTATAGCACTTTAGCGAGTCAACGCTTATATCATAAATTACGTAATTCACTGACACAACAAGAATCTTAGTTGACCTCATCTGGAGTTAGCTAAATTGTCTTCAACTGGATTAAGAGTAGTTAAAAAAAGTTATTTGTACTCAGTTTTAGTTCAAAACAAATACGAATTTAATTTGAAATGAGTCTATATCAAAACTTTACAATCAATAAAATTAAGTGTTTTCATGTTATTTAAAATGGGCCTATTGTGTGCGTAAAATGTATTTGCACTGCTTATAACTAAAGATTTAAAAAATATCTATCTGTCAGTGTTTGTTCTAGTTAATCTTTGAAACGGTTGGACCGATTTTGAAGGGACTTTTACTGGAAGGTATCTCATGAATGCGGGAGTAACTTAGACTATTTCTTTTTTTTTCATTGATCAAGTCATTTTATTTCAACATGAAAGATCTAAAATAAGTCTCTTAACGTTGTTTTATTTATTAATCTACACAAACGAAGTCGGAGTGTATTTTATTACAAAAAAGAATTTAATGAAATATAATTTTATACAAGTTTAAAAAGAAAAAAATCGGAGCATTTTAACCGTATGAATACATACATGGATATGCATCTCTTATATTTAAAGGTTTATTTAAATAATGATGATGATTTAAATAAGCCTATAAAAAATAAAACGGGCCATAAAAACGTGCGCCCGTGCGAATGTACTTAATGGTTCGTCAATGTTTCCTAAAATTGAAGACACAAGTTATAATATGGAACGAAATTATTTCTTTAAATAATAAATAGAATAGATAATCAATTATAATATTAAGCCATAACTGGAATTTTAATTGACGCCGACGAAATATTTTTCATATTTAAAAATAATTGAATTAATACGAACTCAATGTTTAAAATACTAATCACGGACGTTTTCATTTTTATGGCAGATTCATTTAATAAATTATAGATTAAAATTATTCAATTCAATTGTTTCATTAACCCAAATTATTAATTTATTAAAAAAATATGTTGAATATTTTAACGCGACTATCATGAACAACAATGATGAAATACATAGAGTTAAAACAAAATGTCTTCTCAAGTTAGTAACATAATATAATTTAAATGTATGCATTGAAAAATATCCGTAGATAAAAATCATTTTACCAAGATGCTGTGACAAAAATCTTAAAGCGCATGCTTAATGTCCCATTCAGGAATACCTAGTGAACGAGAGGGATACACCGGCACGAGGAAAAAGGTTAGCATGATAACTCACAAAATTCGGTGAAAGCCCAGCTTCACCAATCACTGAACACACAAAATCTTACACCTAACGGCAATAGGTTATGTCATTCCTATGTATTTGCACCTTTTGTCATTTGTCAAAATAATACTGATTTTTTTAAACACGCAAAGAAAGAACACACAAATATTTAACGCACGTTCTAATAGGATACAGTCGTTACTCTAACTGCATTATGTCTAGATTTTAGGTCACCAGAACCGTCTTGAACTGGCCACTTAAATTGGCGAGAGGCGTGTTAAGTACTTACATGGTGTAAATGTTGTCGTTGACAGTTATCCCATAGGTAATAGCACATAGAATCCGTATTTACCTGGCCTAAGGCCGTGTTGTAACCGGTGATGAGAATAACACGAAAATATTCACGTTAAACCGCGATCGAAGAACAAGACGATCCAGCACAGGTTATGATTGCGGTACTGTTTATTTATAAGCGCGGCGGGTGTGCACTGGCACATTTATTTTCGGCAGTATGCGGTTGCTTGGACTGTATTATATTTTATTTTGCTGCAAACGGTGTTAGAACTAGTGTGGAGAAAAAAAAATCAATCGGGAGACGCGTCAGTTAGTGGCCATCTTGTATCTGGCTGGGTCGCAGGGGCGAGGGAGCCGCGCATGCGCGCCAGCAGCGCCAGACTTCACGGCCCAGAACAGATATTGAAGACGGCATCCCTTTCAAATCTCACTAATTTCTATACGTCACAATAAAAATATCATCAGTCGTAGAGACCAAGATTGAAGTTGATAATTGATGAGGTTAATGTTATTTTTTTAATTCGCGCTTATTTCACCAACGATTAACATAATTATAGCTGGCAATTCAACAGCAATTTGTGCGCATGTTCATAAAGTGTCAGTATTATGAAGTATTCTTTTAGGCGGCAGAATTCTGAAAAGCTTTCATTTCCGTGTAATTACTTAGCATCGATAGAGATCAGTGATTAAATTGATTTACAAAATGAATTAGTCTTAAAGATTTTGATAGACGAATGAGTGTCGATGACTGAGTTTACTTACGAATTTTCTTCTCAGTTTCAGTTACTATTCGGTCTGTTGCAGGAATTCCTGAGCTTCGGGCGTCGACGTCGATTAGGACAAACCTATTAAACCATACAAAGAACATTTAAAATATTGTTTTCTGTAGTGTGAGTAAATACTTAAATCACAAGTTAATGTCAAAAAGTTTATCCTACTATCCTACTAATATGCCTATGTCCTCTTCCAGATTATGCTCTATACGTATGCCAAATTTATTCAAGATCCGTTCAACCGTTCTGGAGATACCTTCAAACAAACATCCATCCATCTAAACATTCGCATTTATAATATTAGTAAGATTAAATTAAATTAGGATATTACTTTATTTTGACTATCATATTTTTATGTTTCTGCGTTAAAATAACCTTCTTTTTAAAGTCAGCTGAAGATCAACTATGCAATATGTAAATAATGAATAAATATATGCGGTTATAAGTTTATTTAACTTTAGGTTAACATGCAGACAAAAAAAAGACAAGGAAAAAACACAGGGAAATATATGACGCAAATGAGATTTGCAACTTATAAAGGTGATTAAAAAAAAATCAATCACACACAAATAACACAATTTGAAACTCGCTAAGATTTGTAAATGTAGCTTCCCCGGCGTGTCTGTCAACCGACTAAAAAGTAACTAGTCAAGAGTGAGTTGTTTTTTAATAAGTTCTAGTTTAATTTACAATTTTGTCGGTAAATATTGAAAGCGACAAATTATTTATAATTCGCAATAATTCCGAATTTCCTACTTTATTTCCTTAATTATTTTTGCAACAATTGTTCATGCAATGAATCAGTTCCATGTACAGATTTACCGTGTAACAACTATCCTTTATAATGTTATGAATATACAGCATTTGTCTAAATTATTTGTGTTATAGTGAAATTTGTGGCAAGATGTATAATTATCTTCTTTTGTTATGTGTTATATTTGTGTACGTGAAGTGTATAGGTAAAAGTTTGTTTTAATTTTACGATTTAAATGTATAAGTAGGGCTCGTGGTTTTAGCAATGGCGTTGTATTATGTTAAAACAAGTCTGTAGTTTTTGTTCCCTTTATCTCAGTAGTTATTATTTTCTTGCTATTACCTTTCATCGATGTATCCTTCAATAAGCAATACTGCCCTTAATACGTGCTATTATTTGCTCAGAACATGCCCAAACTACTATAACTTAACACGTAGTAAATAAAAGAGCGTCGGTGGCTAAAGGGTTAAGTATAATCGTGACATGTACCAATGTGTTATTCGATTTACACATGTAAATTTATCCGACGTATTTACGGTGAAGGAAAACTTCGCAATGCAATCTGCACATGTCTGCGAAAAAATTCAAAAGATATGTGTGAAGTCAACCCGTAGTGAGCCAGCGTGGTAGACTATGATCTAGTCAACCCTAACTTAGGGTATGCTTCGAGCCCCTCGGTGGCGACGTACAGTGAGCTGATGATGAATTTCTAATGCATACGTACAACATGATGTTTTTTAAAACTACCGAACTCTTGAGAAAATTAACCAAGTATTTTTTATATATCTCCAGATAATCTGATAATCGGTCCGGAGAGACATATTATAGACAATGAAAACCCAAATCTACATATTTTACCCATTAACAGCGGAGCCAGAAGTAAGATTTTTTATATGGATATCTTAACATGAATTAGGACTTTTCCAAATCAACTTCAGCATATTAAAATTGGTGTATAACTGTTATTCTATAAATTTGGTAAACCTGTACATATTGTTATCCCTGTTTTTCAAAGAGAATGAGAGAGACGACGACAATATCTTCTTGAATAGCTGACGTACCTCTTTCTTAAAGTCCGGCAATGTATCTGCGATTTCTCTGGTACCGAGAATGTCCATAGACGTCGGTGACCTTTTTTCATTTCAAATCTCACTGCTCGTTGCCTCTTATTCTTATCCAAAAAGGTATTTCAGCAGTAGCAACCTACAATTAGGTAAAATATCTTAATTTTTATTGAAAAAGTCCGAATTAGACTTGCATGAGGCTGACGTTCGAAATTGATATTTAAAATCCATCAGCCGCACTAGAATTATTTAACGGTTACATCCTAGTGTAGATTTCACGTACTAAACGTATACTATGAAGCTCTTTTAGTGACCACATAACCTCTTATTAGTAGTAACTCTGACTATTAAATCACGGCACTGGTCACATTAATAGTATTATTATTAACTCGGAACCAATTTGGTTTTGGCTACAAGGGTAGGGGAAGACCAAAAAAGTATGGAATGACTGTGTGAAAGAGGATATGCGTAAGAAGGGGGTAGACTCGGATATGACGGCTGATAGAGATGTATGGAGGAGTAGTACATACTGTGCCGACCCTCCATGGGGATAAGGGCAGGTTGATGATGATGACTGGTCTCATTATATTTTTTCCCTTGACCATATATATTCGGTGATTTTTTTTTATATCAGCATTTTTGTATTTAATTATATACAAATAAAAATGTATGTTTTTTTTCAGATATTCCAAAAGCCGCCAATCCGAAGATAAATGGTTTAAATGTTAATTTAATTCAAGGAAATATTAAATGGTAATGAACAATATTTTATTTATGTAATAATAGGAGATAATAATAAATTAAATTATATAAATAAATAAGAAATTTTTGTTTTCAGTTGTTGCCCTCAACAAATACAGTCACAAAACAAAGCAGAGATATGTTCGGTATTTGATTTTTTTTTATTTTATCTAAAAATGAAAATTTCTAAAAATGAAGGAAGAATGGCTATGGAATGGAGAGTGTCGTGTTATATAGAAAAAAGGGCTTATGATATACTAGCTGTCGCCCGCGACTCCGTCGACGCGGTATTAAAAAAAAAACTTAATTAGAAGTCAGCAATTCTTCCATGATCTACATCTGTGCCAATAGTTATTTCTACATCTTCTAAATTTGCATTATTTCTCAAAGAAATTTCCTTTTTACATTTGAAACAAACTTAAGAGTTAAGCAAAGTAAGGTACTATTTTTGTGGTTTTAGCCAGTTTGGCTTGTTATGTTTATAAATATCTGGATTAAGTTTGTTCTTTATCATATTTTTTTACTTCTTACAAGTATAAATTCGTTATAATGCGACCGTTTAGAATTTAAATGGACGAATGGGTGTTAGTTATTAACCTAAAGAACGACGAAACGGATCTCTATGAAAGTTATATCTAACACAATTTGGAAGAATAGGTATGCCTTCTATGATCCCGAAAATATTAACGGGTTCCGTTGGATATATTTGATGTACATACTTACTCGGTAACTCCATAGCGGCTTTGAAATTTGGCAGATCTCGCGTAACACATGAGATACTTTTAACACTTTTATTAATTCCGCGCAGACGAAGTCTCGGGCAAAAGCTAGTGCTGAAATAAAAGAATGTTTGCTTTAAGTAAAATTATATTAGAAGCATTAGAGTCTCGTAACACCAGAAAAGACAAATGTAAAGAAAAGCACTGGACAGTTCTCATTCAACCGATGACACGTTAGTCGAGCATGCTGCGTCTGTTCAGTCCTTTGATATTCTTTTAGTTTTTTAAATTATAAATTGGTTTTTCGTTATCAAATACAGTGTGGATGAAGTATGATTTTTTATATGATAATAAATGAAATAATAAAAACGAATAATTTACTAAAATATATTATTAAAAGGAGTCCCTTTAGGCAAGGTTCCGAAGATACAGCGTTTCCCCTTTGATAGCTAAAGTAATTAAATAAACTAATTGTTTTTAAAAGATGTACCCAATATCGACGTTACCATTTTCTTAATCTTGTTTCAAAGCTTCCCAAAAAGCAATTATTTAATTAGGCTTCATTTCAACACAACCGTTCTATAGTTTTAGACATTAGTAGTTAGAATCATTTGTCGCGAATGGCGCGCTTTCGTGACTGAGTCAAGTGTCAGATAGATTAGTGAGGGGACATGAACGTCGGCATTCTAGTAAGGCTAGTGTTGCGCCAGTACACAGGCACAGTGTCGGATTTTCTTCCTAACAATAGATGCTAAACGCTGTCGCGTAATGCAGCAGGGGTGTTAGACAAAGGGCGTTCGCTCCGAAGCGATTCCATAACGAACTTCAAAAATGTGTGGAACTCGCAATAACTTTCGATAAGTCGCGTGATAAATTTTGAAGTTCACTATGGAATCGCTTAGAAGCAATTGCACTTTGTCCAACCCTGCTGGTCTTTTATGACCGAAAAGACGCGACGGATACTCGATAACTCAATTACTGTTGTATTTTTATTACAGGAATTGCAAGATTTTAAAACAATAAAAAAAACCGAAGACGGAAATATTTTTTATGCGAGTTTTAATAAAACCTTTTGTTATTGTTATTTAAACCAAACAGGTATAGATTAAAAAAAAACTTGTGTTATATCAAAAAGAATTAATAATAGTAATAATACATTTAAAAATAATTAATTACTTTATTTTCAGGAATTAACCATATCGAAGAATGCGACATTTGTAAGTACAAAATACTTTCGATTAAGAATAATAATATTGCTAATGAAAGTATAAAATTATCATACTAATAGCACCCATACATAACGCTATCGTATGTCAAAACCCGTGTGGCATTTGTTAAAAAGTTATTTTAAAATATATGACCTGGAACTAAAGTCTATGTAACATTTATGGCTTAATCCTTCTATGAGCATCTTTGTAAATACAAGTGATAAATAAATCCTGGGCTATTTTTTTTTATATCATTAGGTGGCAAACGAGCGAGCGGTGAAATCGCTGAAATAGCGAAGTGACCGTTGCCCATAGACATACGTAATTGGATATGCGTTGCCTACCTTTAATCGACGGAGGAGAGGATGCACAGAAAGAAAATATTTTCCCTTTCCATGCATCTTCTCATCTGGAAAGTCCACTTCCTCTTTCCATTCTTAACTTATGAGAAAAAGGATGGGAAGGGAAATAGGACTAAATTAGGTGTCCGGGACCCACACTCATCAGACGAAACGCGGAATTGCTTCCACTTCACGCCTGTCTTCTGTGTGGTTGTGGTATTTCACCGGGCGAGCCGGGCCAATTCGTGCGAAGATGTTAAAACGGGCTCCACCACTGTTAAAATTATATCTATTCATTCTGTCTATTTAACTACCGTATAAATGTTTAACATACACATATACATTCTAAGTACCTGTAAACATTATTAAATAGAATCCTTTAGCGCGAATGGCGCGATTTCATTACAAAGTCATGTGCCAGAATGATTAGTGAGGGGACATAAACGTCGATATTTTAGTCAGGCTAGTGTTGCGCCAGTACACCGGCACAGTGACGGATTTTCTTCCTAACAGTACATAATAACTTCAAACGCGTGTTGGTTTATTATCTGAAAATGTTTATTTTGTATTATAGACCACTTTATATTTTAAAAAATATTAATTTCCTTTACAGCGATTTGGTTCTTCCTTTATACTGGAATTATAGGATTGGTTATATTAGCAGCACAAATTAAATGTATTTGTTGCATACGAAAGAAGAACAAAGGTATTTTGGGAACATTTCTTTATATTATGAATTTTTAATTTGACTCTCACAATTTAATCATCAAATACAAACTGGGAGGCTACACAGAGATCCGGCAAGCGAAAAGGCAAAAATGTATGGAGATGGACAATACCTTTCGATATGTCACTTGCATGTTACGTACTTTGCCTATACATTTCCACACATTTTGTCGATTCTATTAGAGATGATCGAATCTCTGTATTAAACATATCATCATCTCGGTCATTCACCTTTGATGTAACAGAGATAACAATATGTTTTAAACGAGGATTTTGGTCTGAGAAACCTACGGTTAACCAGCGTTATTATTTAAGGAAGAATTTTATATCATTTTACAGAGAATATTTTATTACCGACTTGAATAAAATGAGTCTTAAATCTATGATATTAAATAAAATATTATAAACGAATAATTAACTAAAATATATTATTATTAGGCGTCATTCCGAAGAAACTTCGTGTTTATTTCTCCTTTACTGAACATTGTTACAGTTTTAAAGGACCAGAAACTTATAATTCAACAGAGTATTTTAAAGGAAGGTGATGCGAAAACATCGCCTAAAATAAAAAATATATATCGACTTATCGAGGAAGATACACTAGATATGCAAAGTACGTATTAAATATTGATAATACTAGCTGTGGCACGCAACTCCGTTCGAGCGGAATAAAAAAATAAAAGTAATAAGTAGCCTATGTGTTTTTCCAGGCTACGTTCTACATCTGTACCAAATTTCATAAGGATCCGTTAAGGTGTGCTTGAGATACTTTCAAACAAACATCCATCTATTCAAACATTCGCATTTATAACATAGTAAGATACATATTGTGAAAATATTGTTAGTACTATGTTTACTATTTAAGTAAAATATATGATTGTTCAGAATACAAAATGATTCATGACCAACACAGAAGACAAGCATGAAATAGAAATATTTCTCGCGTTTTGTCTGAAGTGTGTGTTCAAATTTTGGTTCTCTTCTGAATAAGATAAGGAAGCATGAATTTAGCGGAAGAGAACGGGGCTAGGAAGGAAAATATAAGTGTCAGCATGTTGGTCGAATCCTGAACATTCGCGTCCATACGCCTCTATCTCGCAATCCTTATGTTATATTATGTATTATACTGTTTTGGATTTTTCTTAACTTTTATTTCAGTTCCAGTCAGATCAAATCTTCCCTTCAATGGCTATATCAGGCACGATCGAGAACCGAGTAATATCTATCATTCTCTAGACAATTTGCACATTGCAACACTAGGTCAGATTTTTTTTTATAATTTAAATAGAAATAGACCACTGAACTCTATAAATGGATAGGCGATTGCTAATTACAGATTTTGTTTCGTTCCGTTTTACCCGCATTGATTTTACATGACACTTAATAATATCTATTATTATTATTTCGAATCCAAACCACCGCTACAAACTACCATCGGCGCCATGATGGCAAAAATCAAATAGGCACAAAATATCAAGTCTTATAGCCAGTCCATTTATAGAGGTCAGTGTAATAGTCACGCTACATTATTTCCGTAACTGATGAGCGAGCGATCGGGATGATAATAACCCATAAGATACATAAAAAAAAATCTGTAATTTATTAAGAACGCTTAGGCGCTAAACATTGATTTTATATAAGAGAGATTAAGATGAAATAGGTTTTTAAAATAATAGATTAATAATTTATTATGCAGATCCAACATCGCCACCTTTAAGCAATATGAAGAATGAAAAACAATATCAGTGGAGAATTTCAAAAAGGGAATTAGATGTGCAATCAAAAATTTTACCCTTCCGACCAACAGATACACCATACATCACCAGACGTATGTACAAAAATTAGGCTGTATAAATTATTAATAAGAAAAAAACAGAGTTCATACATAAAAGATCGCAGCTTAATTCTGCAGAAGCGAACAGAACCGCGCTACGCAACGTAGAAATGGGCGATTGAAAGCAGCGTCGTCTATGGTATTATTATATTCAAACTTTATTGCGGCTCGGGGTTAGTTACGAGCGCGTGTGTACCGGGTGGGCCTGGGCGTACCGTGCCGCCACATCCCTCTCCATCCCGTTAATCTAACTGTAAAAAAAGTCCTTGTTCGAAACCTATTTCCTAATTATGGAAGGTTTTTTTCTTTTTAGCTAAAGAAGTTTTGCCTCCAGCGATTCCTCGCCGCCCTGCGCCATTACCAAATGAGAAACCACGAAAAGGTACATAAGTATACCCATATTATAAGAGATTCTTCTTCGTGGCTTTATTCTTTTACATTGCTTCTTATTTCTTGTTTTTGTTCACAGAAAAAGGATTAATAACATCAGAGCTGACCGCTGCATTGAATATGAGAAAAATGACCGAAAACAGTATTTTTTTTTATTTATTTATATTAAACAGCGTACAATATTCATAATAATATAATTTTCATATTTTAATTGATTTGAAAAGTTATTTTAATTTAAAATTATGTGTCCTCACAACAAGCTCATAACCAAGATTAGCAATGACACTTTCGCAGGATTAAAAAAAATTAAAAAGTTTATTTACTTTTATTTTAGTTCTAGAGACAAAAAGCCTTTTCTGCCATCCTTAAAACGTCATACCAAAGTTTTGTCAAAATCAGACAGAGGTAAAGAACGCAGTGCAGCAACACACTCAAAATATTCGTTTTTGTATAGGATATATGTTAAGTAAAATATTTTTTTATACATAAATATTATAATAAAATATCTTAAGATTGAAACATAAAAGGTTTTAAATTCACTAATAAATCCTACAAAGTAATTAAAAACAAATTAATTTCAGCAGTGTCTGGTCAAAATCATATTCCATCAACGCAAGAAAAAAGAAATATTCAAAAAGTCTTACCGGTGGTAAAGGCTAAACCAAGTAAGTTAATATTTCAATTATGTTCTTCAAATACAAATGTCTTAATTTTTTGGAACTTAAGCCTTAATGGTTACTTTTAGACATTATTAGTTCAAATGTTTTGTTGCGAATGGCGCGCTTTCGTTACTAAGTCAAGTGTCAGATTGATTAGAGAGGGGACATAAAAGTTGATATTTTAATAATGCTAGTGTTGTGCCGATACACCGACACAGTGTCCGATTTTCTTCCTAACATTACTTAAAGATGACTTTAATGTAAGTAGCTACATTTACGCCTAATCGTGTATAATGTTTTCAGTATCCTCTGTAACGCGCCCCCATCCTCCACAAATATCAGAAATTCCGCCATTGCTAAAAACGACAACAGGTAGATGACTTTTTAAGTGATTATTTAAAAAATGTTTTGTTTTCACTATAACGTTGCGATTAAGTAAAATTTTGCTAATATTAAAATGCGAAAGTTTAAATGGATGTATGGATGTTTTTTTGAAGGTATCTCCAGAATTGCTACATGGATCTCGTTGAAATTTGGCATAGATGTAGAATAACAGTCTGTAAGAACATATAGGCTGTGTTTTTTTTTAATTTCGCGTAGACGGAGTCGGGCGACAGCTAGTTAAGGAATGAATTACAAAAATATACAATAGTTATTAAATTTTACAGTATGTCCCTCTTCTGTCCGGGGGACACACAAACAGCGAGCGCCAACGCCGCCACCAAGTCACAGTAACGTATCCATTCTAAATATTATATTAGTGCACATATACAGTGTTCTATATGGTTCACAGCGTACTTGAAAAACTACATGTTGAAATCTAGGAATTTTCTGATGGATTATCTATATAATAAAGTAAAAAGTTTTGGTTGTTTGTTTGGTTGCTTGTATTGAATAGACTCCGAAACTATTGAACCGATTTGCAAAATTCTTTCATTATTGGGAAGCTAGACTATTCCTGGGTGACATAGGCTTAGATGTGCAACTACTATGCAATGCAGCAACTTTTAACAGCTTCTAGCTGGACCCTGGAGATTTTTTGTTTCGTGATAGATTGTATTTTCCAGTTAAACTGGAAAAGTACTGATCAGATTTTAGTTTAATGATAGTATTTTATTCTTAAGTTGGTCCTTGTAGCTACCCAAAGCGAAACAGGGGCGTTTTGTCTGTATGTATGAAGTAAGTCCTTTGTTTATCCTCCAGGACCTGAGGGGCTTTCTACTTCTATTTATTATAGTAACGAGAATGAAGACTGGGACTACGAAGATCTGCCACAGTATCCAATCTACAGTGCTTAAGTATAAATTGTAACTATATTTTAACGTAAATAAATTAAAAAGTGTTGACATGTCCATTAAAAAGTATTTTATTTCTAATCGACACTTCTGCACTATTATTTTATAATTATAATTAAATTTAACTCTGCCTGGATATTTAATCTTACTTTTCTTTATAGGCTTTGGCAAGCAGATTTAATAAAAAACCACAAAAAAATTCTAGCATATAATCTGGATTTTTGAGAGAAATAAAATCCTAACAAAACCTTTTTAACTTTGTTCGGAATACGAGTTTTGAGTTTCTGATTTAATTGCATAAAAATTAGAAAATGATCTAATTTAAGCAAGTCATGAATCTCTCTACGACTGATTAAGCTAAAAATCTGCAACCGTTACAGTAAATCGTCGCAACAGAATTAGCAATTCCTTCATACGACACTGGCTATAGTTCCAATTTTCCACACTTTACATAAAAATTAAAAATCAGAATGTGGATTAGTTTGCTTCAAACAAATGTATTAATTTATATTTTTATTTATAAACAGTCGATTTCTAATTGATTTAATTCATTATTTGAATAATCGATAAAAAATCGTATATATATTCTGTGGAACGGGACGAAATAAATGACACTTGGCAATATTTTTTGGCAATTCAATTTGACAAATCGATGATACGTGTATCTTGTATTTTCTTGTAAAAGTGTATCCCTCGGTTCCCCATAATTTCTTAATTACTCAAAAGAAAAAGGCAAAAATGAGTTCATTCAAAAGAGATAAAAAAGAGGAAGAAGATAGTGGTGGTAATCCTTATCAAAATCTTGACAAGACTATTGTATTACAAGAAGCTAGATACTTTAACGAAACTCCGGTCAATCCAAGAAAATGTATTTACATCTTGTCGAAAATTCTGTATTTACTCAATCAAGGAGAAAAGTTCACTACCAAGGAGGCTACAGATGTGTTTTTCGCAACAACCAAACTGTTTCAATCCAAAAATGTGATGTTAAGGCGTATGGTTTATCTTTGCATAAAAGAATTGAGTACTATGGCCCAAGATATTATCATAGTTACATCGTCATTGACTAAGGATATGACTGGCAAAGAGGATTTGTATAGACCTGCGGCCATAAGAGCACTTTGCAGTATTACTGATAGCACAATGCTACAAGCTATAGAAAGATACATGAAACAAGCGATAGTAGATAAGAACCCGGCTGTTAGCTCCGCAGCTTTGGTCTCCGCTCTTCACCTATCATCAAGTGCTCCAGATCTTGTCCGTCGATGGGTTAATGAGGCTCAGGTTTGTATTGAACTTACAAATTAATAATGTAAATGGAACTCAAGATTAAAAACAAATGTTCTATACAGTAACTGATTATTTAGTCAATTTATGTCACTATCGCTTACCGTCTATCAGCAACACCCTCTCTTGAGATTGAGGTCGAGTGCTGGCTTGCTCAATATGTAGGCATTTATTTAAAAAAATATTAATCATTTCTTCAAGATTTTCAAGCACTTATGGTAGATGGAGGGCATTTAACTAACAATAATTATTGTTTTCCTTCTGTTAAAAAATCCAATGTATTCATACTTTGGATATTTTAATAATAAGCTAATCTTTTTTGTTACAGGAAGCAATGAACTCCGATGATCCCATGGTTTGCTATCATGCGTTAGGATTGGTTGCTGGATTAAAGAAAAATGACAAGTTGTCTACTGTAAAACTGATTACCCGCTATTTCGGAACATCAGTGAAGTCACCTTACATGCTGTGTCTCCTTATACGCTTTGCTGCCCAAATGGTAGAAACTGATGATTCTGACAATTCAAAACGTTTCATCGATTTCATTGAGTACTGTCTCCGTCACAAGTCCGAAATGGTTATTTACGAGGCAGCCCATGCTATTGTCAATCTCAAAAAGCCAGTACGTGATCTAGCTCCGGCCGTGTCCGTATTGCAGCTATTCTGTGGCTCCTCGAAAGCTTCATTGCGACTTGCAGGTGCGCGAACGCTCGCTTGTTTGACTGCAAAGCGACCAACAGCTGTTGCAGCTTGTACCGTTGATCTGGAAAACCTTATATCTGATCCTAATCGCTCTGTTGCTACTTTAGCTGTTACCACGTTACTTGCAACGGGTGCTGAGAGTTCTATTGACAGATTAATGAAACAAATATCAAGCTTTGTTTCGGAGATTTCTGATGAATTTAAAATCATCGTGGTGAAGGCCATTCGACGTCTATGCACAAAATTCCCAAGAAAGCATCAGTCGATTGTCGCATTTTTGGCCGGAATGTTAAGAGATGAAGGTGGTCTGGAATTTAAAGCAGCTATAGCTGATGCAATTATAGAAATAGTCGAAGAGAACCCAGATGCTAAAGAGACAGGTCTAGCACATTTGTGTGAATTTATAGAGGATTGTGAACACTCCGCCTTGGCTGTCCGTATATTACATTTGCTTGGACGCGAGGGTCCCAAGTCACGTCAACCATCACGTTACATTCGTTTCATATACAACAGAGTTATTTTAGAATCTGGTCCCGTGAGAGCGGCCGCAGTATCTGCAGTCGCGCAGTTTGGTGCCCAGCGACCAGAAATGTTGCCTAACATTAAGGTCCTTTTGTCTCGATGCGAACTGGACGATGAAGATGAAGTAAGAGATCGCGCAATTTTCTATAATGCTGTTCTCGACACAGGAGATCAACAACTCATAAACGATTACATTATAAATGTCGTGAAACTAAATCCCATACAGCTTGAGAAAGCTTTACGTGAACATATTGCTACAAAACCAGATGAGGCGTTTGATATAATGTCAGTACCAACTGAAGAACTGAAGGAAGAGAAAGAGGATATTGTTGAAGTTGAAGTGAAAAAACCCACACAAATGACAACAGAAGAGATATACAACGAGATGTTGTCTCACATTCCTGGTGTTGAGCGTCTGGGACCTATTTTCAAACGCGCGCAGGTGGTCGAATTGACCGAACCAGAGACAGAGTATACGGTACGTTTGTACAAACATATCTTTGCACGGCACATCATATTGCAATTTGAATGTGTGAACACACTAAATGATCAACAACTCGAGCAAGTTCACGTTAGATTGGATACACCGCCCGAATACAATTTGGTATCGATAGTTCCCTGTCAGAAATTGGTTTTTAATAAACCCGATAGTGTATTCGTCGTCGTGGAGTTTCCGAGCGCATATTTAGATAGCTTGGGAACATTCGGTGCGACTTTGGAATTCGTTGTCAGGGACTGCGATCCCAACACTGGCAATCCTGACCCTGGTGAGGGATACGCTGATTCGTATCCTTTGGAGGAATTCGATATCAATTGTGCTGATCAAATTAAGACACGTACTGCAGCTGAAGATTTCGAGGAGACATGGGAATGCGCGGCTAATTCTCCGGAAGCCAGTGAGACATTTGCTCTTCCGTACAATGACATTGAAGAGGCTGGTAAAGCGGTGTGCAGACATTTGGCGTTGCCGAATGAAGCCGTTAGCGGAGATGCGATCAAGGAGATCAAAGGATGCGGTATATTCCGGGGCGGGGCTCCTGTACTGATGAAAGCGAAGTTAGTCGCTATTAATGTGGGCGTTACTATGAAACTAGCTGTTCGATCGCCTCGGGAAGATATTGCCCAGCTCTTATTGTCGGCCATTGGTTAAAATTATAAGTACTCTGTATTAAAAATATTGATGTATGTGACATAAATGTTCTTAGCCAAGCAAAAGTAAATCAGATCTTGTTTTTTTAAAGAATGTTTTGTGTTTTTTGAATACGTGAAGACATTTTTTTTGTTATTTATCTTAAAATTTTATGCAAATATTATGGATACTTTGATCGAATTCCCATCAGAAATAACATTTTATTCTTGATATTTATTATTTGCGCTATTAGATTTTTAATTAATTAAAATTGTCAAAACAAGCCTATTACTATGTGGCGAAGTTTAAACGTAGTTTATAAGCCTTATTTAATATTTTGAATAACATATTCGTAGGCGAATATCCAACATTAGCTATACCTATGTCTTAGACAAAAAATTGTTTACTTACATTTTACTCTATGATGAAATAAAAGATTACTGTATCAAATGATGTTTTATTTTACCTAAAAAAAAATAAAAAAGGACCAATTTCAAGTCGTAAAAAAGAAAATAACAAATATGTATTTAATCACAACATGCATTGCCGAAAAACTTGTATATACTTATTCCTGTTTCGGCAATGGAAACTCTAAAAATGTTTTGCTATTAAACATTTATAGGCGCTGAGTTTGGTATTAAAGGCCTTTGCTTGCAAATTATCTTCGTCTTATATGTATATGAAGTAATTAAATTTGAAGTTATATAAAAACAATGTACGTAATTAGCAATTTTTTTCATCATCTATTTCACTAATAAGTCAAATCTCTCAATATTTTCTTACACATAATAACAATAAAAATCATAGGTTAACAAAATCTATTTTTATATTTTCAGAAAGATCAAGAGTGATAGACAAAAAAAATTTGGTTTTTCACTTGAAGTTAAAAATAATTCTTTTCTAAAGAATTTTATTTTACAAAACTTTTGTACATGTCAAGGCTATTTTTTTTTTCAAAAAATGTTATGTCAACTTCCAAAATCAACTAATTTGCTTATATTTGTTCTTAAAACTAAACACTACACCTAGTCTATCAAAATAATCACTTCAAATTGGCAATTAAATTGCAAACTAAGGTTATCAGACATTAATCTATTTGGTTTATATCAGTAAATTCGTATCTTCATCTCTTTATTATTAAAGAGATAGTAGAAAGTAAATAAAAGAAAAAGCGTGCACAATAACATGATAACTTAATGGAATGCACTTTCCACATATATTTTTGCGTATTCTTGACGCGTCGTTATGACGTCACCAGACTCAAAGTAAGGAAGGCCAATAATCAAAATAAAAAATTGTTAAGTCGTTTTACTGATGAAAAATTGTGTGATTTTGTTTATGTCCACTTATTGACAAAATCTTATGAAGGATGATAAATCGTTATTTTTTTTCGAAGTTCCTGGATCACTGATTTACGAAGAGTTAAAATTTTGAATATTTAAAATTGTTTCGAATTGCACCCAATCATGTTATTGTGCCCGCATTGTACACATCTTAAATTAACAATTATAAAGTATAATATTAGACAAATGATTAATCATGAAACAAATGTCACAAAACATTAATCGAAAATGCTATAACAAATTACGAAAAGAATCAAGAAATTCGCTCATCCAACAGAACAACGACGTAACCTAACAAACGAAAATGTCTTTTCAATGTCGTAAACTCACGTTTCATGACATAGATTTATTGTTGATTGTAGAGATATACTAGCTGTCGCCCGTGACCCCGTCCACGCAAAACGATCAATAATTGAAATATAAACTACCCTATATCCCAAGTTGGACCAAAAAATTTGATAAAAATTGGTTCAGAAGTTTCTCGCGAACATACATCGTGACACAATTGTTTTATATATATTTGATTTCGATAGGGAACATATTCTCAAGTTGAAATCTTCAAAACTCTTCGAAACTAGTTGAAACGTAATTAGGTTATTGTTCTATTAAATGAGAGAATTGTTAACGTGTCATCTCTTAGACTTTAAAAAAAGTTAAACACTTACAACTATGGCACCTAAACTAAATTAGGAACAAAATATTTCTTTCAAAATCTTCAACTGAGATCATATCCTCTTATTAAGATAATACTGTAACTTATTCAATTGAAATGAGAATTTATATTCTTATAATTTTTTTTTATTCCACGCAGAGTCGCGGGTGATCGCTAGTGACACATACAACTGACAAGATTTATTTGTCTATGGATTTATTTTGGAATGTTTTTGTAATTTAAATAATTGTCATGTCTGTTTTTAATAAGTCCTGTAATTACAGCCTTATAAAGGAAATATTATTTAGATATGGTTGTTATATATTCTCATTTATATTGAATTCGGCTGTACTGTCTCACAGTCTAGAAGCATTTATTGTTTATCCCTTAATTCGACGAAATTTTTTGTAGCAAAAAAAAAAAAAATTTTAGTAAAGTCATACTTACGTAATTTTCTCTAAACTAGTTCAGTACATTTTTTTTAATTAGTTGTTTGTCACACTGGACACAATCGAATTAAGGGTTAAATAAATCATTTAGTAAAGATTTCTTTTACTAAAACTAAAGGTTCATTAAGGCACTGTGAGTAAGGATATACAGATATTTTAATACCTTAGTAACATGTACTGGTTACTTCAATTTTAGGTGATAATAAATTATTTGTAGCAATGTAAATAATTTTTAAAGCTTGTTGTAAGAGATCAATTTTTTCCAAATAAACACTAACTATTTGCCTGAAAACAGATAAAAGTTATTAATTCAAAGATGAAGGAACACACTTGAGTTAGTAGATTTTATATGATAAAGCATTGAAGCCAGCCACCGAGGGGCTCGGAGCCTACCCTAAGTTCAGGGTGATTAGGCCATAGTCAACCACACTGCCCAAGTGCGGGTTGACTTCACACATATCTTAGAATTTCTTCTCAGATATGTGCAGGTTGCATCACGATGTTTTCCTTCACCGTAAGAATGTCGAATAAATGTACATATGTAAATCGGAAATCGAAAAACACATTGGTACATGGCGGGATTCGAACCCAGGACCTGCAGATTGCTAGTCAAGTGCTTGACCCCTGAGCCATCGACACTCTGGCTTAAAAAATACAGTAAAACAATTGCTTAAAAAGTATTATACCATAGTACAGAAAAAAATCATATAAATGCCCACTTAATGTCTTTGGAAAAACACAAGATACAAATATCTTAAAGGTGGAATTTTTCTCAATTTCTTAAAAAATCGGTTGTCATGGTAACTATACGATAAGCATTTTTTATGAAATGTCAAATCATAATTTACATTGAGAAAAAACGCACGCAAAGCCGTGGTCACAAGCTAGTCAATCATCAACCTGCCCTTATCCCTATTGAGGGTCGGCACAGTATGTACTACTCCTCCATACATCTCTATCAGCCGTCATATCTTAGTCTACCCCCTTCCTACGCATATCCTCTTTCACACACTCATTCCATACTTTTATTGGTCTTCCTCTACCCTTGTAGCCATCCACATTCAATCTCATTACTTTTTTGCTTATATCATCATCATCCCTCCGCATAACATGTCCAAACCTTATACCAAAAATAAATAAAAATATCTTACTTGTATTTGGAGATCAGTTTATCATTAGCCACATCGACGCCAGCTTGCTCCAATAACGTTATCACTGTCGTATTGGATTCTTTCTCCCTGTTTAATATGCTAAAATACAAAAAAAATTAACTATGTCAGAATATTTTAATAATTTAAAAAAAAAAAAAACTCATTTTTATTATTTGTTCACTGTACTAAAAAAGTGTTTTTGCTTAAAACCTTTTTATAAGATTCACCCAATAACTAGCTGTCGCCTGCTACTCCATACGAGCGAATTAAAAAAAACTTTATTAGTAACCTATATGTTCTTACAGACTATGTTCTACATCTATACCAAATTACATCAAGAACCGTTGAGCTGTCCAATCCAAACATTCGCATTTATAATATTAGTAATAAGTAAAAATTAATTTCATTTATGTTATGATGTATACAGGATGTAAAGAAATCTGTACTCCGTTAAAGACAAAGTTATACAGGACATCCTGTATAACTTTATAAAGATATATATTCTTACTTTGTCAAATTATCCACAACGAGTGACATACGATGATACGTTTTGTATGCTTTGTCAAATATTTCACGTCTATTCTCCGGTGTTATATCTTTTTCTTTTAATATAAGGCTGGTGTCATTTCTGAAAACAAAGTATTAACTTATAGTCTTACAAACTTATCTGACCCGGGGCATAAATAAAATAATTTGATAATACTTTATAATTGTCACAAGATCTTTGTCAGACTATAGCTGTCTTGTCTTTTATGTCATATCCTAAGACTGAATAGGAATTTGGTGTAAAAATGCACTTTAAGAGTACCAGTGACTCAGAAGTTAAAAGTTTAACTTGTGATCTGTAGGTCTTGGGTTTTAATCCCGCCATATACCAATATGTTTTTAAATTATCGATTTACATATGTATTATACATTTATCCGATGCTCTTATAGGCAAGGAAAACATCGTGATGCAACCTGCACATATATGTTAAGAAATTCAAAGATATGTTTGAAGTCAACCCGCATTCAATGACTATAATAATAATAATAATAAAGCCTTTTATATATATATGGAAAAAAAAAAAAGGCTTTATTATTCATTGACTATGGCCTAGTCATATTTAACTTAGGGTAGATTCTGAGCCCCTTAGTGGAGATATACTCACATAAAATCATAAACAATATTTAAAGTAGAATTCATTTCGAAAATGAATTTCTTTATAAGTAAATGTGCGTTACAATAATTCTTGCCTAAACCACTGTCATTTGACGCAGTTAATGTTATATTTTCTTTCAATGATTCACTATTGTGTACTTCAGTTTGATATGCCATGTCTGTATTTTCACTGATTTTATCCAAATTATTATGTAAATTTTTATTTATATTAGATTCTTTTATATTTAAATCAGATTTTGTGTCATTTTCTTCTAATTTATTCAATAGTTTCTCTTCAAAATTATCGATGGCACCAAAATTTATAATCACTTTTGGAGCATTTTGTAAACTTGTGAAAGCATTTTCGTGTACAGTTGAATCAAATATTTGCTTAGATTCGTCTTGATTCAAGTTTTTTATGACAATATTATTTTCTTCTTGGAATTTATCATCAATTTTATTGTCACGATTTTTATCTATATCTAATAATATTCCATTTGTATTGGATATTATTAATGAATTTAAATTACGTCCAGTTGTACGAATTATACGGTTATTTATGAAATTCTGAAAAATAAAATTTACAAGGATTAGCTTAATTATAAACAAAAATTTTTGAACAATAAAATAGACCCATAAAAACTATAGATCTAGAGATAGGTCTGATTTTTTGTGGATTTTTTTTATAATATTTAAAAAAAAATGCCTCCTCCCCCTTCACTTCACTTCTTCACCCCGCTACAGCCTAGCCTTTTTATTAACTAATATGACTCGTAGTAATTTGTATGTAAAAAGTATTGTGTCCATGTTTTTTCAGGATTTTTTAAAATTTTAATTTTGTATTAACTTTATATTTCATTGTTTGAAAAATATACATATTTAAGATCTTATATAGGATACATCTGAATTCTTTTCTGGTAATTAAAAAATCACTCGTATTTTCACATATAAATTAAAAAAAAATGGATTTAAGGCTAATATGTTTAATCGTATTTATTTGATAAAATTACATTAATTACCCAAACTTACTGTTTGTTTAAATGTATCTTCATTTCCATTTAAATCAGTTAAATGTTTATTATAATAATCTCCAGAAGGTCTGCGGTCATCTAGAAAAAAAAATATTTTTCGTTTCTTAAGATTTTTTTTTATTTTTTTTTACTTTTTAATGTTTCTTATATACTTACAATCTTCATACGATGTTTCGCTACTACCTCTACTATCATACGTTCTCACTATTTTCGATTGTTCCAATTCATTTTCAAATCGATTTGGATCTTCAATACTTTGTAGTAATTTCCCCAACAAATATTCCGTTTCTAACAAAATCTCTGAATTAGGTTTGAAGGCCTAAAAAGTTACATACAGATAATTTCATATCTTTTTTTATTTCTATTGACAAAACAAGGTTCATCAGTCACATTTTTTTTTATTCAATATAATACGCTTAGATTGACTAAAACAAATAATTAATATTACCTTTATAGATTCCACCAAAATCATTCCACAGCCGACCATCTTTATCAAAATATCTGCCTTGTATTTAGTTTCGAGTTTATCTGAAAAAATACATTTTCCGTAACTAACACTTATTTAATTTGGCACATCATCAACAAGATTACTCTTGAGCGCGACGTGCCAACTCAAGTATAAAAAAATCTTACTTTTTTGATTAATTAAATTGTACAAAGCTGACATTCTATATGCGACTATTTGTATAGAAGTGGAGTCAGGATACAACTGCGCTACTGCATCCACCGCCTGCGGAATCGTGCAGAAATCACAACTAACATTCTCATTCTGGAAATTAAAAAAAAAATAATCTATCTGTCGCCCGTAACTCCGTCTACGCGATAAAAAAAACCTAATTAGTAGCCTTTCTTTTAGAATATGTTCTACATCTATGCCAAATTTCATCAAGATCCATTGTTCCGTTCTGCCATCCATCCTTACATTAAAACATTTGCATTTATAATATTAATAGGAAGAAAGATAATTTCTCTTAGATGAGGTTATTAATTAAAATCAACAAATTACAAATTGCGTCATTGTGATACATTTCGTTACAAGAGCGAGACGAAAGATATGGCAAAGAAAGAGAAAAACATGTTTTTAATTCTTTTGACTCTTTGTTCAGATGCTTTTTTATTTTAAGGTTAATAAAATTGAAATTACCAGTAACAAATCCGACATAAACGTCTCCATGATTTGCGTAAAAGTGCACATGTAATCTTCAGCACGCAAAATAATAAGATTTGCGATTTGACGATTTCTCAAACTATATTTTTTCAATTTTTCATAAACAGTCTCCTTTAATCCTGCTTTTTCATAATCAAAACCATCAAAAAATGGATAATTTTCATTAACATCACTCGTTAAATGAGAAAAATTTAAAGGTTCAATATCTTCTGGTTTTTGTAGGAATAAATTATTATTAATGTCTTTTTGTTCATTTCGTATATTACAATCATTAAATAATTGACTACACAATCCTTCTTTGACATCCTGTATCATATAACATATCAAATTATGATCCATAGCACTGGCAAAAAGATCGGCATCACTTGTTAATAAAATCTAAAAAAAAAAAATTCAAGGACACAACATTAACACGACACCAAATACTGACCACGTACAAGTCACAAAAGAGGTAAGAAAAAAATAAGGAATATTAAAAAAAATATGGTTTTATTCCATTTTTGAAATAAATATTGTTTTACTCACCAAATTGTAATCTAGGTTTTTAATTTTTTTACAACAACTTATAATTTGTTGTTTTGGTGTTATCTGCTGTTCCGGTTCTAGTACTGAAAATGTTTATAAATACATATTTTAATATCAAACATATTTACTGATTAGACAATTCTTTGGAAAAAAAAGTATCATAGCTGTGTCAGCAAGAAATTAAAAAAAAACTTTATTAGTATCCAATGTGTTCCTCCAGCCTATGTCTTACATCTATGCCAAATTTCAACAAGATCTGTTGGCCCATTCCAGAGATACCAGCTAACAAACATGCATCCATCCAAACATTCATATTTATTATATTAGTAAGATTATTTTATTACAATCTCTTATTAAAATAATATAATTTGTTTTAAGGAAAAAATAAAAGTACCCAAATAATCATCAGCTCACTATATGCACCCATTGAGGGGCTCGGAGCCTAGCCTAAGTTAGGGGTAACTAGGCGTTTGTCCCCGCGAGGATGATATGCATATGGCATTGCCCCACAATAAAAAAAGGTCTTAGTCAATTCCAAACAATTTGTAAATTGCAAGAAATAATCCTTTGATTGTGCTAATGCTACAAAAGAAATCATAAAAACTTTTTCCCTGAGCTGCCCCAGAGGAAAAGATATTTAAGTAACTTACTTATATGTCGCGATTGTGTTGGTATTTTCCAAATCAAGTTCTGCGCGGTCAACATTAATTGATGACTTTTATGATCCATTTCAGCTAAATTTCTCAACTTTGATATCACTGCATTGGGTATAACTAAACGATATCTTGTGTCTGAAATAACAAAGTAAGTAAGCCTGACGTATTATATTTTTAATTTCAAATAAGGACTTTTATTATGATTTTCCGAAAACTCCAAAACTAATTTAAAATATAAAAGTATGAATTTTAATAATAAAAACTTTTAATTATCATGGAAAATGTTAATCAGAGATTTATCATTCATATTGCACTTCAGATTTATTACTAAGATACGAAGTCAAAAAACCGTCGAGTCTTCAATAAAATAATTGAACATACCTTTTATAACTTTGTCATTCACAAACTGAAAATCATTAAGCAATACATTAAGATCAATAACAATAAAACAAGTATCTTTTGTTTCATGTTTCATTGTTGCCATGTTTCTCTTTGATGTTTTTCCCATATCATTATGGCTTGAATTCCTTCCAAAGGTTTGGAATTTGATCATCTCTTCATTTTGTGGGTCATCTCGGAAAATAAACCATTTCTTGTCATGTTGTACGATGAAATTATCACAATCATTTTCACCTAATAAAATTAAATTAAAATAAAAAAACCCATCTTTCCCCTAAATTATATATGGGTACTTCTGCAGAATATATAACTTTTTTCAAATATCTTAATGGCCTAAGGTCATTGGCGCAACATGCACAATCTACCCCATATCTGGCTATGCCCTGTTATATCTTAAATTGTGTGGAGTGGCTCACAAAAAGTTAATGACCACCAAGATATTGGAAAACATTTATACTAACTTTAAACTTCATTTTGTTAATAAAAGTGTTACCTGTCATTACATTACTGGAAGTACTGAGTAGATTTATATCTTCCATTTTATTTGTTATTGATGATAGTGCATTCTTGGTCAAATCTTCACTTTGACTGTCTGATGAATGTAATTTTATATAAGGGTCCCATATGACTTTTCTTTGTCTGTTATATCCTGGTTTGTTGTACATTCTAAATGATTTTTGTCCAATTTTGATACCATTTAAAGTATTAACAGCATAAATTCCTTCAGTATCATTCAAAAGCGGCGGGGAGAAACATCTATGGTTTTCTACTAATGTTTTATTGAATTTTTTCTTCTGTTGTTGAAGAAACTTTTGTTTGTTTTCTTTGGTTATAGTGGCAGTATGAATTTGTGAATGTAGCGGAAAAGATTTTTCATTAGTTAAAAATGTTTGTGACTTTTGGTTATCCTGTTTTAGTGACTTATTACAGTTCAATTCAAAATTGTTATCCAAGCCTCGACAACCGAGGAGGCCAACAACATCATCAGGTTCAATATTTGGTTCAATTTCACTGTTTAAATTAGTATTAGGTTTTTTACAGTTATCTTTACTCTTGTCTGAAGTCAGTAATGTCTTCTTCTGAAACAAAGTAGTTTATTGCAAGAAAATTATAATTTATATTAAAATAAATAATAGTATGAACCTTGTACTCACATCTGGGCGGGCCCATTTAGATTCACCATTGTGAATATTAAAATAATAAAACTTATTAGGGAACCTATATGACCGACATAAAATCCAATCTTTAGTAGCCTCAGTACTCATATTAAGTTTTAATAGGAATCATGTCTCTTATTAGACATTTATGGAAATATTATTTATTTGCATTCTGCATCCAGCAATTTTTTTAAAGTTTTTTGTATACACCCGCGTAAATTCTATATAAAGTAAACTTGTCTTTTTACTTGTCGTTTCGTTTCTGCTGTCTTGTCATCTGTCATATTACTTTATGTGATGTTGCCAATGTGCTAACAGCTTTATCCTATTATTTTCTATCTTCTGCGGTTTCCGATTTTAAAATGTGAGTGAATATTTTATATTAATTATTATTTACCTCGGAACGGTTTTTAAAGAATCTTAACGATTACTTAAAAGTTAAAACTTAATTAAAACTAGGGCTTCAAACAGATGTGGGATTAGGAGTCGAAACTAATTGCGTTATTAATATTTCACCGAATCTAAGGACGGATATTACATCACTGTGCTCAAAGTTATTATCCATTTACCATTGTACTTATCATAGGAATGTAATTATTTAGTAAAGTAGACAAAAAGGGAAAGAGACGTAAAATCAAACACAGCACGTTATCATCATACTTTATTTAAAAATAGTGTAAAGCTATTTATGAGCAAATATGTACGAAACTCGATTACAATAGGAACAATCACAGCTATAAACTACCCCCGTAATATTAACAAAATCGCCGCACAGCGGACCTACAATAAGAAAGAAGGTTAGTTGCGTTATGGAGTCTAAAGATTATGAAATTAAATTTTATTCCATTACGAAATTAACTACGACTTTTTTGGGTGAGTTTTAAAAACTTGTACATATTAAAATTAATTGTTTTTCAATACTATGATGTAAATATTAATATAATCGTAATATTTATTCCATAACTCTGATATATCAATAGATTCCATAGCACCATAAATTATATACCTAACCTTGCATTTTATTATAAAAGTCAATTATGAATTATTATGTATAAGTAAAAATTTAAAAATCTATTATCTATTTACATATCCTTTGATTATTTTGAGAGAACACAAAACATACCTTTTATTCAATTCAATATGCTTATAAAATTAAATTAAATTAACAAAATAGAAGTTTAATAAAATGAAACTTGTTTAACCATTGCCAATTTATGAAAATGAGTTATATTTAAATCACAACTATTAGCGGAATTAAAATTAAACAATGTAAAATGTACAAAAATCTTGAATGATAATGAAATATTTTAAAATCATTGCATATATCAAAATGAAATCAGGATCTTACCGTAGTGGTTTGGATGTATTTTTTTTAACTCATCAAAACTAGTCAAAATATTTACGTGTAGAAATATTTATTTGGTTACAGCGTTTAAAAAAAATTATCACTCAGTCTCAAATATCGTTCAGATTTTTTTTCATAAATATTTATAAAATTTAATTAACTAGGTAATTTGATGAATGATTCTTTTTCGTATAAAAATATTTTATTACTTGATACAGTCTTGTTTTTATTTTTTAATTGTATTATACAGGGAATGAATTTTTTTATTATTTTAAGATCGTACATTTGTCTAGTAATAAGGAAGCTACCAAGGAGTAAGGTTAGAATAAAAATAATAACCGACAACGGCGGCAGTATTACTACCATAAAGTAAATCGTCCATTTTATTACCGTTGGCAGTCCTTCTTGACTCTGAAAAAAAGATAAAAAATTAATTAAGTAAACATAGAGGAAGAACATTTCGATTTCAGGTGGCCGATTGCCCCTTTGCCACCGTATGATATAAAAAAAAGTAAATTAATTAGTTTCACATGGATTGTGTAACTCAGAAAATAGCTATGGTTATTTATCCTTTTCCTTCATAGTAACGTTAGCGTGCTTTTGAATATGTTACTTACATATTCCGCCCAAAACAGTGGTATGACATGATTGGAGAATTTTTTATATTCCGCTGTGAACAATGAGAGGTCGTGCATCCGTAGATTACTCTGCATCCGGGCCACCGCACGGAACGGTACGCCAGTTATCTGGAACAAGAGAATTGTTACTATTATATTACTACAAAAATATTTTACGATTGCCTTAATATTTTTAACAATTGCAGTCGCTATTTTTGTTGAAAGGTATGGCCGTAAAATCCCTCTGAATGTTTTACTTAACACGAAATTAAGGAAGATTTTTCGAGGCGAATACTAGACACTTTCTTGAAATAAAACAGCTTCAAAATCTACTGCACTAAGTGTTACGTATATGCAATGAAAGTCTCATCAAACATCCTAGGATGCAAGCACCAATCTTTCACAAATACAACGAAATGTACTAGTCTTTTAAAGTGAAATAGCTACATAATTATTTAGGAAGTTTGTACGCACAGGTTCAACGACAACATAAGAGTTGTGCTTCTCTCGGTCCGGCGTAAGACCTGTGACGTAGTGGTCCTTTGGAGGAGAGCCCGTGTAGAAATGCGGATACGAAACCACAATAGGAAAATCTAGAAATAAAGAATAAATTAAAAAAAAAAGTTTCTGTGATATCAAAAATCTGGTTGACCAAACATAAGTATGGTTAATAACATATTTTAGTGAATTATTCGTTTTTTTTTAATATTTTATTTAATATCATAGATTTAAGACTTTATGTAATTATAGAAATAAGGATGTAAGTATGGTTATAGTATTCCGTGCAAAAGAACGTCAATATTAAAAGCATGGAATACCCGTAACCAAGGTGTCTGAAAAAGATTTGTGTAGAGCTACGTCATATCTTACTAAAGTAACATTTGGAGGCGTCGCTAAGTCCCGAAGGCAGGCTAGGCGAAGTGTCGTAGCAGTCGGTGCCGTTTCGCACGCGTTCAAACACTACCTCAGACAGATTATATCTGTACAAAGGCACCTCGTCCATAGACAACTCACCTACAAAGAGATAATAGTAAAGCGGTAATTAATAAAGAAAAAGTTTAATTGTACAGATAGTCGAACTTTTTGTTTGTGTGACGTTTCGAAGAGTACGGAACGATACCACAGTCTACAAAATCGCAGAAGCCCTGGCAGGAAAGCCGTGTAAAATGCTTAAACTGTACTCACTTTCAAAATATAAAGGCATAAGTTTGCAGACGGTCTTCCTCCAATACAATAAGACGTCTTGTTTGGTAATATGCTGATGGTACATTACGCCTTCCGTTGAACCAAATATACGATCTGGACAAATCTATAAAAAAGATTACATCGAGTTTTTTATTTTATATTGGAAAATATATTAGACATTTATAAAAAAATATAAGACTTACAGCTGGGTCATATCCAGGTAACTGCGGCTCACCTCTGAACCGATTGATTTGGAAGAAATTGTCGTGACCGCGTTCTGAGCCTATTTCCACCGTCACCTCGTCAATGAAGTCACTGTACATCTAAGAATGTGAGAATAAACTTTTAATAAGATTTTTTTTACCGCATGTGCCTTGAAACATTTTTAAAAGTCGATTGTAAAACGATTTTCGCTTTCGAAATGTCCATATGAGTAATTTACATACTTCGTACGCTCCAAAATTTACCAAAGGTCAAATTGCGCAATGACCCAGTCCTTGTCCTATTCCCATTCTTTTTGACTTTTAATTAAAAGAAATGTTTAAAATCTGCTTTCGTATTTGTAGAAGGAATTTTGCGACTACTCTATAGATCTTTTCCTTATTCGAAATTATTTACATTGACAAAAATTAATGAAAAAAAAATCTTGCGTTCTAGTAAATTATAAAAAATATTACATTTGTCCGCGACTTTGTACCCGCCTAATTAAAAAAAAGTTAGTATCCTAAGCGCTATTCCAGACTGTAATCTATCCCACTTCTAATTTTGCACGACGTTCTGGAATTACGCGGAAGCAAAAATTCATCCATCGATATAAGTAAGATTTTGACATAGTTACCCTTTTTAAAAAGCCCATGTTGTCAACTGGAACTAACGAAGGGACGATATTTTTCGAAGTTACTAGTACTGGATCTCTGTAGTCCCATAAATATTCATACAAAGTTCTATTAACGAAAAATTCGCTGCCGTGCGCATTAACTAGAAGTCTAAACGCTGCACGAACGAAGTAGTTGGAATCATGAAGAAAGGAAGCCATGCCCTGAAAGTGATAAGATTATTATAATGCCTTAGAGGTTAATAACAACGACGATGTTCTTTTTATTATCATTTAACCTTTCCGCCCCAGACATAATGCATTTATCTCAAACTGTCTTAACCACGACTCACGACAACACATTAATAAATGGCACGGGATAAAAAGTATATCCGTCCTCTCGTCTTAAGCTACCTCCCCCCAAATATTCAGCCAAATCAGTTCAGCCGTTCTTGAGTTATTAATAGTGCAAATAACACCACTTACAACTGTCGTGATCGATTATTTTCTCTATGAATCTGTTTTATTACATACATACAGACAATTATAAAACAATAATGAGAAGTTATTGTCCCAAGGAAATGATTAATTTCCGCTTATTACTATTTATCATATATTATATTGAGCCGTGACATACAGGGGTCACGAACAAAAGGTAACTGGCACTCGGCTTTTGTAAAGACCGATTGTGTTTATGAGAAATTACTACAAACAACTTCTCATGCATTACAGTTTGCCAATATCTTGAACACAAACATAACAATCTCGGGTTATTGTACGATTAAACTCGCAAAGGAATCTAAAAAAGCTTGTAGATTTTCGTATAAATGACGACCAAAAGGTCGTGTGATCCTTAGATCTCTACTAATTACGTATACGAAGGCAACTTAGTATTTATCCTGGATAGATTGTCCTATTTGGGAAATGTTGACGCTCCTACTAAAACGACTACTAAAGTGGACATAAGTCGTCCACTGATGAACGTACTCCAACACCAAGGATCGCAATAATGTCTGGACCCACATCGAGCGGATTTTTACGTGTGAACACTTTAACTTTTCGTTAATTATAACATTAATTATACCGAATTTTACGCTTTATTTTGGAAAGGGACATGATCATGAATATTAAAAGTCGAATCTTAGGTAGGCAACTTAAAAAAATAGGTAACAGTGACATTGACTTACCAAAACAGCTAAATTAGGAACAATGATAGTGGCATTCAAGTCATAAGTGTTCTCATCCGGTAAGTAGATTAGTGACCTCTTGGCCGTGTACGTAAGAGTACTGTTTTCGTTAAACTTTATGTCGTAATGTTGAAGCTTTTCTCTGAAATAAAAACAAACGACTATCATTAATGAAATTGCGAACAATGTAATTGATTATTTAATTGTAATATTACAAATATATTTATTTGAACTCTTTAAAAATTTATTTAATAAAAACATCTTAATCTATGAAACTTTAAAAATAATCCTGTACCTAAATTGTAATTAAAAACGTACAATTTTTTTCGTACATAAATCGCCATGAACATAACTTATTTTAATTTGAACCATCATGACGTATTACTACTTACTGTTATTCACTTCTGTGTTGTGCGTTTTGACCCAAAAATTATATACAGTTGACGCAATCTGTCAGTCTGTACGTTTTAAATTCAATACCTCAGTACCATTAATTCGTGCCTATAAAGATGGTGTACCTTTTGAATAATGCACGCGTCATACAGACACGCAATAAACACATTGTACAAGACAAATTTAGTAGAATCATGATCGATTTTATAACAATTTTATTTGAGAATAATCATGTTTATTATTATTACACATTGAAATTACAAAAGTATTTTCAGTAGTTTTTGGAGATACTTAACTACATTTTGGGGTAGCTAACCATCAGATATTCAAAGTGAAGGGTTTCAAACGATGCAAATTTCTTTGCTAGATGTGAAGTTAGTTTTAGTGCTAGGTGAGACGTGAAGATAGGAAGAGGAAATAAACCAAATAATTCCTTTCTGAACGTCAATGGACTTAGGTCAAGTTATTATTCATCAGTAAAATGTCTTGTTAATTGTTTGTACTTACAAATAAACAATAGGTCCAATTTCTTGTAAATTCAATTTCTTGTCGAGACCCTTCATGAATCGCTCGTGGTTTGTCACATTGAATATGTAAGCCCGCATTTTGACCTCGTCGGGTGGATTCGCCCACCATTCGTAAGGCGGGAGCCCTAAAATTAATTTTAAAAAATATCTGAATATTTATATTTGAAATTACAGACTACTAGAGTCAAGTAGAGTGAATCGAAATCCTTAAATTTTGTTCATAAATACTTGCTGTATACGACACTGGTTTTTTGTAACAAACGGTATTCTTTTGTTTTTTGGATTGCTTGTTTACCAAAAGTACAAAATACTTTATGCATTTCCACTTCTAACATAACTAAGAAACGATGAAATTATTAAAAGCTCAACACTATCTATATTTTTGTATTAAAATTGAACAAACCTGGTCTCATATTCAATTTTTCCCACAGCATGAAGTCTAACGGAGAGAAGACGAAACCGCTGATTGATATTATGATGAGGAGCACGCCCCACGCCGTCTGCGTTACCGAATCTGGTACAGGTAATTAGTTAACATCTAATTTATTAAAATGATATATAAACACGGCTAAACACTCACGTATATTCGTCCGGTGGCGGCACCGACTAGTTTCGAGCCCATCGGGGGTCCTTCATCAGGTTGAGTGGTACTGGTATTATTTCGCGGACGCGGCCCGTCGTTCAGTGAGCGACCCAGTACCACTCATCCTGATGAAGGGCCCCCGATAGGCTCGAAATTAGTCGGTGCCGCCACCGGACGAATATACGTGAGTGTTTAGCCGTGTTTATATATCATTTTAGTATAATGTCTCACGAAAGTTTGAATAATTTAATTTATTAAAATGTTTGATTATATAACCTATTACTCCAAATCCAACAAATCTGTACGGTAGAATTTCATGTTACTTATCTTACTATTATAATATTATAAATGCGAATGATGGCTGCATGTTTCTTAGAAGGTATCTCTAGATCGGCTGCATGGATCTCACTGAATTTTGACATAGATGTAGAACATAGTCTAGTCAGATACTTAGGCTACTACATAAGTTTTTTTTTAATTTCGTGCGGACAGGGTTGCGGGCGACCGCTAGTAATGCAATAAAAGTTGTAATAAGCAACATTCATGTTGCGAAAGTAAGCATATTAAATTGTTTATGACCAAATAGGCCACCGGATGATTACAAATAATATTACGTCTAATTATTCAATATAATTTTGTATATTTTATAAAAAGGTTCTTTTCACGAAACAACTTTAAAAAGTTTATAAGTTAGGAACTGTTTTTTTTTTTATAATTAGTAGCTGATCATCCGCGACTCCAACCATGGACCAATAATATGTTTAAAAAACATAGAACTATTTAAGATGTGTATAAGTTTTTATCAATATTATAGTAATTCTAGTGAAGGCAAAATATTACATGTACCTATCTGTACAAACGTTTTTGCCCTATTGTAGAATTAAGAGGACTAGTTGACATACCTATCACGTGTTTCTAAGACTTACTTGTGACATTTGTAGATAGTAAACACGTGTGAACTGTGAACTGTCTCGTGTATTAATTTATGTATCATTGAGAATTATATATAAAGACTTATGTATTATCATTTCGCAAGATAGTTTTAATGAGCTGCAAACTTGGTAAATGGTATGTTGCACAATACTGCTGTTCATCGCCACGTGTAATGAATTGATGTGGTTTATTAATTAAATATCTATATAATATAAATTGAAAATAAATTTATTTGTTCATTATGTACGTGAAGCGGAATCTTTGTGTATATGTTCATATTTTATGAACGAATTTATAACTCAAAATGACTATTCAAGTAAGAAATTGTATGGACCAACAAATTTATCTGAGCCGATGGGCATAAATCAAACTAAATGATAGCTCACTAGCGCCCCCGTGTCAACGTCAAAAAATTGTCACAAAAACCTTGTCGTACGCCATCGTCGTGGGCAAACTGTTAATAAATTATATTAACATTTCAAGGACCCATTCCAACTAAGCTCGAAGCGTGTATGCTAGGAATTTGTTTACGACACTAGTAATCCCGGGATTCGAACCCTCCACCACGTGATCCAAAATCCGTTCCCTTAACCATTAGACTATTGTCGGTTCTAACTGAGATACAATATGATTTGTACGAATGTTTCGGCTGTGGAAACTCACTTCAACAACATTAATGATAACATTATATCAAACTGGATCTTATTACTCGATCACGTAGGACTACGATAATATGAGAATGCAAATCAATATACATTTAATATTATGCGTATCGCGTACAGTTTGTAATAATTATAATAATCCAAAGCCAGTTCGTTCATTGTCAGCGGTGACGCGGCGAAGGACTTGAGACGACGTAATAATTTGACGTGATCTGATTAATTAGACATAGAAAAGCGAAAGGCACAACATAATTGGGTTTAGTGACACTTGTAATGCATATTGTTATCCTTCACATTCTCTTTAAAAAAATAGAGACAACAATATGTTTCGTGCGATAATTTTATTGTTGAGGAAGTAACACATCCATCATCTGGATTTAAAAAAAAATGGTTTATTATCTGTTGGAGGACTCGATGTATGAAAATAAAGGTGCGGATCCATTGTCCCGCGCCGGACGCGCCGCACACACTGCTCGTAACGAACTTTTGTCTGGTTTGGATGATTCTATATAGCGCTGCGTCCATTATCCGCGTCGCGACGCGTCGCCTGCATTGAAAGACGGTATTTATCAACAAGCAATTCGTTGCGGGCCGTGTATGCGGTGCGTCCGAGGCGGGCCAATGGACACGTGCCTTAAAACTATATAATATACTTACTACAACATAGAGATCTTTTCTTTATAACTTTACACTGATCTTCTCCGTAGGGGACAGAGTATTGAGTGCCCGTGCACTTGACGTCTATGCAGTCATCGAGACAGTTACTATAGTTCTCTTCTACTCTATCTTCTATCAAACTGTTAAATGAATCACTGGCACTTTCTTTCCCAGAATCACTATCCTTTGAATCACTATCTACACAATTTGTTGAGTTAGTTCTTGATGATCGTTCACTGTTTAGAGACACCGTAGGTATGATCGACTCGGTATACATTTCGGCTTCGCTTAGGTTCCTGAAAGAATGAAAAATTGATTAATAATATATCTTTCATATACTTTTAATCCGACTACTGAATTCAATTTTAACTGCAGGTAAACTAAATGAGGTAAACTGATGTATAGGTTAAATTATTGTTTTTTCTTTGCTCGTTTGGGCAGATTTGGTTTAAAAATGTCTATTGGTAAATTATATTTAATTATTAGCGATTGTTTGCGACTTCGTTAACGCAAAATAAAAAAAACGAGCTTAAAATATGTCCGCATACATTACCTTCAGGTTCAAGTCTCGTAAATTTTTAGATTTTACATACAGACAATGGAAATTTATTATTATGTGTAGGGTATAATATTATAAATGCAAATGGATAGATGGATGGATGGATGGATGGATGGGTAAATGGATGGATGTTTGTTTGAAGGTATATCCGGAACAGCTCAAGGGATCTCGCTAAAATTTGTCATAAACGTAGAACAGTGGAAGAACACATAGGCTACTAATTATGTTTTTAATACCGCGCGGACGGAGTCGGGGGTGACAGCTAGTAAATAATAAATAAAATGTATATAAGTTTTCTCACAATATTTATGAGTGTATCTTAATTCCTTTGATGTTGTTGAGTAATGCTGGGATTTGCGCAACCGTAATATTATGTTAATATAAAAACCCTGACCGCGGCAAAAGCATGGACACGGCTAGTTAATGCATTTGTTTACACACTTTTACTTGTAATCTTTTTTACTTGAGAACTGTATGTCTGATCTTGGGTACATACCTATAGTTAAGAACCACATCAACCTGTGGTCAACAACATGATTATAATAATTACGTGAAGCAATTTTTTTTTCCTCTCTTTAAGGAAATTGCGAACACTGGTGAACGTGTTTGACAGTTATAGTTGATATGGGACAAAAGTGCACAAAACTATTTTGTAACAAAAAAGTCTTTGATAGTGATTTATTGGCGACCAATTGATTGTATCATCAATCTAAGATCTTTGTAAAACGTTCAAAAAGAGTTTTTAAAGAAAACAAGTAGAAAATTACCTAATTAATACTAGCTGTCGCCCGCGACTTCATTCGTGCGAAATTAAAATAAACTTAATTTGTAGCTTATATGTTCTTCAAGATTAGGTTTTACATCTATGCCAAAATTCAGCGAGATCCAGTCGTTCTAGAGATACCTACCTTGTTACAAGCATCCATCCATCCAACATTCGCATTTATATTATTAGTAAGATATACCATGAGAATCGGACATAACAACTTAAGTTAGTAATAAAGTTTGGAGTTGTGATTTGCTACATTACGAATAACTTATGAAAAAAGTCATATTCAACTCTTCGTTGAACAGGCCGTGATCAAGACAAGACAAAGAGTAATACTCGTCAAGGATTCAGGTCAAGTTTATTTTATTACCCATTCCTTACAATTTTTCTCTGAACTGTACAGAAATAAGTAATCAGAAAAACTAGATTATTTAGTAATGTTACTAATTATTTACCCAAATCAGGATATTAGAACAAGTTTAAGAATATTCTTTAAACTTTTTCCTTAAAATTACAAATTCAAATTCAACAGATTTTATGGGCAGAATAAATAAGTAAATGTGAATAAAAAAATCAAAAGCCTATGTTTTTTTTTTAATTAAGCTCTACCGAGATGTTTAATTATTCCTGTTTTACGTTATTCCACTGCATTTAACCAGTTTTACGCAACAAAAAACATTACTCTTGAAAGCAATTACAGATAAGCTAAATATGTACGGAAATGTAATTTTCCCAACAAATAAAATAGAAAGTAATTTCAATTGTTAAGTAAGAGCGAACTTGCATTTAAGAACCTTCTTTTAAACTCTTTCTAACTTCTTATTAATATTATAAACGCGAATGTTTCGATGAATGGATGTTTGTTAGAACGCATCTCCAGAAAGGTTACATGGATCAAACTAAACTAAAAGGACACAGAGGCTAATAATTCAGTTTTAGAGCCGCGATCAACAACTAGTATATTAATATATTAGACATAATTGCTGTCGCCCGCGACTCCGTCCGCGCGGAATTAAAAAAAAAACTTAATTAGTAGCCTACGTGTTCTTCCAGACTGTGTTCTCTACATCTATGACAAATTTCAGCAAGATCCATGCAGGCGTCTAGGAGATGCCTTAACATCCATGCATCCATCTGAACATTATATTTATATTAGTAATATTTAAAATATCTTTTCTAAAATAATATTGCCAAGTAAAACGAAATTGAGCTCTTGCTCAGACGGTCAGGTTCATAAATAAATTTTAATTAACCCGGTAATGGTTCGTTTAATTCTTATTGTGTCATAAAAATGCGGTTCCTAGAAACAAGGTTGAAGAACATAATGGGAATCCACGGCCTCGTTAAACCATACACGACCTCATCTAGCCCGACCTTCTGGTGGCAATAATTTCATTCTTAAACAAATATTTGCGCGTTATAATCCCCTTCATAGAAATATTACTAATATTATAATTGCGAAAGTTTAGATGACAATCTCATCAAAATCATTCTGTATAAGTTTAGCGTCGTACATATGCGGAGAGATGATGAGCACATAAACAAGAAAGTAACACGATTGAATAAGTTTATGATAATAGATATGAATAAGAAGGGAGTGAATTGAGATATGATCCTTATTATCTATAAGGATTTTTATAAGAGTAGGGGGCAAACGAGCAGCGGGAAAACCGAGGCGTTCATCGCCCCATGGACATCTGCAAGACCAGAGGAACCGCAGATGCGTTGCCGGCCTTTAAGATGGTGATACGCTCGCTTCTTGAATGTCACTAAGTTGTTGCGGTTTGGAAATACCGCTGGATGGTTGTAAAAGTAATAAGGAAGGTGTAGATACTGTGACGAATACCTAGTCTGTGTCGTTTCACAAAACTAAATCTTTTTATGCTTTTCCTGACTGTCTACTACCTAAGAGTTATGTAAATGGGTTACGGTAAAAGTTTAATGTTACACATTAGTCTTCTTGGAAAAAAATCAGCAAATGACCGGAACCTCAAAAAGTTTTTGCAATGATTGCAATAAATGAATACGGAAATAGTACGTATACATTTAAATTGACTAAATAAATAAACAAATTTTACTTGCAAAAATAAAAAAGGCAAATCAAAAAATAGCCTTGCTAAATACGTAACAAAAAAGTATTTTTCATTATTTTTCCAATACGAAAATTGATGATTTTTTTTAATGTTCAATAGAAAAAAAATAAATGGTTTATAAATCGCCTTAGAGTACCTACAACAATTGTTTAGCCCGCGTTTCGTTTTACACGAATCTAAAATACAATAAGCCATTGTTTCCAGGAAGTTTGGATTTAAACTCCGATAACTTCAAATGTTAATCAGTGGTGACAATGTAATAAATGTACCTATCCTTACTTCACTCTCCCTTCACCCGTAGCGCCCTGTTTTATCATCCCTTCCTTACTTGTAATAGTGGTTTATATTCTATTAATAGATTTGCTGCGCAAAATCTATTACTGTGTGCCATTTAGATGGAAGAATGGATGTTTGTTGCAAGGTATCTAAAGAATGGCTCATAGAATTTTGATGAAATTTAGCACAGATTTAGAACATAGCCTTTAATTCTGCGCGTACGGAGACGCAGGCGACAACTAGTCAAACATAAGTTGCGCTACTCATCAAATGCTAGAGAGGTAAACTAAACGTACTGCTTGAAATAAATGTATCTTAAATTTACGTTTTACCTAATTGTTACAAGTTATAACCTAAATAGTAAACAGACAATATGAAGCCTAATTCCCAAATCGATAGAGGTTGCGTGTCGCTCACCACTAGACCTATTTCTTGATATTCGCCTCACAAATAAATCAGCAATAATAAGACTGGCCTAAATATTAAATTGCTCTAAATTATGTTTGTTTATCAACTACCTATCAATTGTAACATGGGCTTTCATTTATTACTATTTGGCAATTGACAATTTAAATTGAAAATAGTGTAACGTAACATTGAAAATCAATAAAAAAATTACAGTATTTTTTGTTTGCTGTTGAAGGCTTTCCGGATAGTGGGAAATTGATTGCCAATTTTTTTTTAAAGATTTCAGGTTCGATAGAATAAGAAATAGAACGATATTATTTTGCCTTTTGATTCCGAGTAATATAGGCGAAGAGTTGTGATATTATGGATTAACAAAAAATAACGTCAAAATTAAATTTTTTAGACCATTTTATAGTAATTCAATAACTGTCATATATAAATGCAAAATTATGCAGAAAATAAGAGAATAAGTTGAATGAAAAAAAAAGATTCTTTGACAATCTTGTAACACTTTGGTCTCAGTTATAAAGTATCTTAAATCGTGTATTTGCCACCATTTGCATGAGGTTAAGGCTACACTAGATTGTTGCGGTCGTTGTGCCAGACGGGACCGGTTAAAATAAACTTTACTTATAACGTAGAAAATTTGGCGGTTAGTGTATTATTACTATTTATCTATCTTCTGTATTCCTCTGTATAATATCTTTTTTAAATTTTCGATTCTCTAGGGTGAAGGCATCTGCCAGGCTTGGTCTGCCCATCCTTAGCAACGCCCATACCCTTCGCGCTTCCCTAAACTCTTAAAAAAATTCTAATCGATTTATCAAAATATTTTAGCTGTTAATAGCCCCATTATTACTTCTTCCTCTTGAGGTGCCTCTCCGACTAGCGAAGGTTGGCGATCAGTTCTCCATATTTATTATTACTAAGACTGTTTATTAATCGACAGAAAAAAAGGTTACATTACTATGCCAAAAATGTATAGTTAAAAAATCTAATATTAATGCAAATTAAACAGTGCACCGAATGTGCACATTAGCACTCATTCTTGATTCAAAAATTGTACTCAAAAATAAATGCAGTGCACAAACTAATGCTTATAAAGCTATCGACCTGTCAATTACGAAATAAGCACTTAATGTATACGAAATAGTATTTTTAGCTTCGTTCCATTTGACTCATTTTTGTGTGGCTCGACCTAGAACCAATTGTGGGCTGACGTTCACTTCGCTTGAGCTTAACTCAACGTTAATAATTTCCACAAAACATAGTTATAACTACGATACATAGTTGTTGTTCTTGAGGTCCTGTGATCGAATGGAAAAAATATATTACGCTATTCTCCAGAAATAATAAGACTTTTAGTTCGATATTCTCTGGTTGTTAAAATGACATGAAAGGGAATCAATAAAAGCTAAAGAACTTAGTTGATTTTGTTATTCGGGATAATTAATTTAGTCAATTAAGTATAAGTTAAATTTCAGTATAACTATACTTACTTTTATATATTACACACTAGCTGTAACACGCGACACCGTCCGCGCGGTTTTGAAAAAAAACTTAGTAAGTAGCCTATGGACATAATATAATTTTTGGTCCGAATTATGTTCTGAATGTACGCCAAATTTCAGCTAAACTATCTATCCTTCCATACATACATTTAAACATTCGCCTTTATAATATTAGTAAAAAGTAAATATGAACTCACTTTGAAGGTTAAGTTCAACAGATGTAGAACATACAAGATACATGGTATGTTGGCGTTTTTATTTTATTTGTTGTTCGTTGCTAGACCAATGCTAGACAAATATTGCTGCAACTTTTCTGCATTCAACTGACCTTTGAGGGATGTAAAACGATTGTTTAGAGGATAGATCTTTTAAGATAATATGTATAACAATCCATTTGATTTTACACAGTATTAGAATCATTTGGCGCGAATGACGCGCTTTCGTTATCAAGTAAAGTGTCAGATTGATTAGGGAGGGGACAATCGTTGATATTTTAGTAAAGATAGTGTTGCGTCGATACATCGGCACAGTGTGGAATTTTCTTCGTAACATTAATATTTTAGCCTATTACGGACAAACGTATTTTGTTCTTTATTTGAACTGTAAAGAAATATGTCAACTACAAATCAAATGACTGCGTAGTCCCGTTAAACTTTGCTCCGCTTGAAATTTGATTAACGTTGAACCGAACGGAGCTATAAAATTACCTTGGTTGTAACTTTATATATTTGTTGCAACCGTTAAATCGTTCGAATCAAATTAACATTCAATCACTAATATTTAAAATGATTTGATAAATAACCAGCTCTCTGGGTAAATACCCAAAAAGGTTAGATAGATACATGTGATAGAATAATATTATCTTTGTTTCATTTTTTAATCTGTACCGTTTTAATCATAAAATTGAATCATGTGATTTTGAGCAACTTAACTTTTTCAAAATTTGAATAATTGGTTTTCTGTAATTTTTCACCGTATGTAATGTTGAAAAAAAAAACATGTTTCGCGAACGTATATATTTGCGTTACTCAAAACTTTAATGAAAAACCATTTTTTTTTTCATTTTTGCCTATGTTTGTGTCTGTCTGTCTGTTCCCTAATTCACGTT